ATTTCTGTGCAATGTAATCAAAGTTACATTGAATTACTCACTGTTGTGACGGTTTTATCCTCATAATATCAAGAATTTTCTACACTCATGGTTCAAGTGACTACAAATTAATCAACTATTCAAAAATAAGATACGAATCACATGTATTTATTATCAGTTGATCTCATGATTATTCATCCTCGAAACCAAGTGTTCATGAAATAGTTGTTTAAAACAAAACAAGTCTGAACCCCACTAGAATATGATAATCTAATTTCATTACTCACCCTGTTTCTCAGTAACATGAAATATAGTGGTTTTATGTTCAAAATTAGATTCTATCTCTAACAATTATCACATTTTCATATAAATATGTCTGAATATCTTACCTATTCCCTCATCAAGACATACAGAAAAACACCGTGATGTAACACTATATTGAAATAAAACAGAAATACAAGAATATAAAAGCACTCCGGTATATTTCAAAACACCATCCCCTTAACTTTAACAACAAGTATCCCCTTAACTTTAACAACACCAATCCCCTTAACTTTCAAAACACCATCCCCTTAACTTTCAAAACACCAATCCCCTTAACTTTAAAAACAAGAATACCCTTAACTTTAAAAACACCAATCCCCTTAACTTTAAAAACACCATCCCCTTAACTTTAAAAACACCAATCGCTTTAACTTTAAAAACACCAATCCCCTTAACTTTAACAACAAGTATCCCCTTAACTTTAACAGCAAGAATACCCTTAACTTTAACAACAAGTATCCCCTTAACTTTAAAAACACCAATCCCCTTAGCTTTAACAATAAGTATCCCCTTAACTTTAACAACACCAATCCCCTTAACTTTAAAAACACCATCCCCTTAACTTTAACAACAAGAATACCCTTAACTTTAACAACAAGAATACCCTTCACTTTAAAAACACCAATCCCCTTAACTTTAAAAACACCAATCCCCTTAACTTTAACAACACCAATCCCCTTAACTTTAAAAACACCAATCCCCTTAACTTTAAAAACACCAATCCCCTTAACTTTAAAAACAAGAATACCCTTAACTTTAACAACAAGAATACCCTTAACTTTAAAAACACCAATCCCCTTAACTTTAAAAACACCAATCCCCTTAACTTTAAAAACAAGAATACCCTTAACTTTAACAACAAGAATACCCTTAACTTTCAAAAACATCAAAACACCATCCCCTTAACTTTAAAAACACCAATCCCCTTAACTTTAAAAACAAGAATACCCTTAACTTTAACAACAAGAATACCCTTAACTTTAACAACAAGAATACCCTTAACTTTAAAAACACCATCCCCTTAACTTTAAAAACACCAATCCCCTTAACTTTAAAAACACCAATCCCCTTAACTTTAACAACAAGAATACCCTTAACTTTAACAACAAGTATCCCCTTAACTTTAAAAACACCAATCCCCTTAGCTTTCAAAACACCATCCCCTTAACTTTCAAAACACCATCCCCTTAACTTTAAAAACACCAATCCCCTTAACTTTAACAACAAGAATACCCTTAACTTTAAAAACACCAATCCCCTTAACTTTAAAAACACCAATCCCCTTAACTTTAACAACAAGTATCCCCTTAACTTTAAAAACACCATCCCCTTAACTTTAAAAACAAGAATACACTTAACTTTAACAACAAGAATACCCTTAACTTTAACAACACCATCCCCTTAACTTTAAAAACAAGAATACCCTTAACTTTAACAACAAGTATCCCCTTAACTTTAAAAACACCAATCCCCTTAACTTTAAAAACACCATCCCCTTAACTTTAACAACACCAATCCCCTTAACTTTAAAAACACCATCCCCTTAACTTTAAAAACACCAATCCCCTTCACTTTAAAAACACCAATCCCCTTACCTTTAAAAACAAGAATACCCTTAACTTTAAAAACACCATCCCCTTAACTTTAAAAACGCCAATCCCCTTAACTTTAAAAACATCATCCCCTTAACTTTAAAAACACCAATCCCCTTAACTTTAAAAACACCAATCCCCTTAACTTTAAAAACACCAATCCCCTTAACTTTAACAACAAGTATCCCCTTAACCAATCCCCTTAACTTTAAAAACACCATCCCCTTAACTTTCAAAACACCATCCCCTTAACTTTAAAAACACCAATCCCCTTAACTTTAAAAACACCATCCCCTTAACTTTAACAACAAGTATCCCCTTAACTTTAACAACAAGAATACCCTTAACTTTAAAAACACCAATCCCCTTAACTTTAAAAACACCAATCCCCTTAACTTTAAAAACACCAATCCCCTTAACTTTAAAAACACCATCCCCTTAACTTTAAAAACACCATCCCCTTAACTTTAAAAACACCATCCCCTTAACTTTAAAAACACCAATCCCCTTAACTTTAAAAACACCATCCCCTTAACTTTAAAAACACCAATCCCCTTAACTTTAAAAACACCAATCCCCTTAACTTTAAAAACACCAATCCCCTTAACTTTCAAAACATCATCCCCTTAACTTTAAAAACACCAATCCCCTTAACTTTAAAAACATCATCCCCTTAACTTTAAAAACACCAATCCCCTTAACTTTAACAACAAGAATACCCTTAACTTTAAAAACACCAATCCCCTTAACTTTAACAATACCCTTAACTTTAAAAACACCAATCCCCTTAACTTTAAAAACACCAATCCCCTTAACTTTAAAAACACCAATCCCCTTAACTTTAAAAACACCATCCCCTTAACTTTAAAAACACCAATCCCCTTAACTTTAAAAACACCATCCCCTTAACTTTAAAAACACCAATCCCCTTAACTTTAAAAACACCAATCCCCTTAACTTTAACAATACCCTTAACTTTAAAAACACCAATCCCCTTAACTTTCAAAACATCATCCCCTTAACTTTAAAAACACCAATCCCCTTAACTTTAAAAACACCAATCCCCTTAACTTTAAAAACAAGAATCCCCTTAACTTTAAAAACACCAATCCCCTTAACTTTAAAAACACCAATCCCCTTAACTTTAAAAACACCAATCCCCTTAACTTTAAAAACACCATCCCCTTAACTTTAACAACAAGAATACCCTTAACTTTCAAAACACCATCCCCTTAACTTTAAAAACACCATCCCCTTAACTTTAAAAACACCATCCCCTTAACTTTAAAAACACCATCCCCCTTTAAAAAAGTATCCCCTTAACTTTAAAAACAAGAATCCCCTTAACTTTAAAAACAAGAATCCCCTTAACTTTAAAAACACCAATTTAACTTTAAAAACAAGAAAAACACAACAAGAATACCCTTAACTTTAAAACACCATCCCCTTAACTTTAAAAACACCATCCCCTTAACTTTAAAAACACCAATCCCCTTAACTTTAAAAACACCTTAAATCCCCTTAACTTTAAAAACAAGAATCCCCTTAACTTTAAAAACACCAATCCCCTTAACTTTAAAAACACCATCCCCTTAACTTTAAAAACACCATCCCCTTAACTTTAAAAACACCAATCCCCTTAACTTTAACAACAAGAATACCCTTAACTTTAAAAACACCATCCCCTTAACTTTAAAAACACCATCCCCTTAACTTTAAAAACACCAATCCCCTTAACTTTAAAAACAAGAATACCCTTAACTTTAAAAACACCATCCCCTTAACTTTAAAAACACCATCCCCTTAACTTTAAAAACACCAATCCCCTTAACTTTAACAACAAGTATCCCCTTAACTTTAACAACAAGAATACCCTTAACTTTAAAAACACCAATCCCCTTAACTTTAACAACAAGTATCCCCTTAACTTTAAAAACACCAAGTTAACAACAAGTATCTCCTTAACTTTAAAAACACCAATCCCCTTAACTTTAAAAACACCAATCCCCTTAACTTTAACAACAAGAATACCCTTAACTTTAAAAACACCATCCCCTTAACTTTAAAAACACCATCCCCTTAACTTTAAAAACACCAATCCCCTTAACTTTAAAAACACCAATCCCCTTAACTTTAAAAACACCAATCCCCTTAACTTTAAAAACACCATCCCCTTAACTTTAAAAACACCATCCCCTTAACTTTAACAACAAGAATACCCTTCACTTTAAAAACACCAATCCCCTTAACTTTAAAAACACCAATCCCCTTAACTTTAAAAACACCAATCCCCTTAACTTTAAAAACACCAATCGCCTTAACTTTAAAAACACCAATCCCCTTAACTTTAAAAACACCAATCGCCTTAACTTTAAAAACACCAATCCCCTTAACTTTAAAAACACCAATCGCCTTAACTTTAAAAACACCAATCCCCTTCACTTTAACAACAAGAATACCCTTAACTTTAACAACAAGAATATGCTTGACTTTAAAAACAAATATCCCCTTAACTTAAAAAACAAGAATACACTTGACTTTAAAAACACAAATCCCTTCCACTTTAAAGACAGGAATCCTCTTGACAGGAAATGTTAGTAACGAGTTAGGGCTACTAATACTTCTATATATGTATGTATCTTTTATACATATACAAAGTGTATATCACAGTAAAATCATGGACAATTGATTAAAAGACATGTATACATATAGTATGTAATCAGTGTTGGGAGCATCCCTTTAGATTTGAGAATTATCAATAAACAACAAGCTCATATCTACTCTACAAAACCACATCATTAGTTGAACAACATGATTTTAAACTTTTTATTTTAAATAAATATACATACAGTAAGTTAAAAACTTTTTAAAAAATGATGAAATCAACTAAGATAAAGACAAAAAAGTGTTTAAAAAAGTAAAATGATAAATCTTGATTAGAATACTGGTTTTGAAATAAATAATTAAAGATAAAAAATATCCATTTTATTGTATTTATATATTGTCTACATATACATGTAGTTTAATAGATATTGTGTCAAAGTTTCTGACAGTTCTGTACATTTTTAGAACTGATTCTAATAAATTTTAAAACTATTGTTAGCATCAAAATATCTCTCTTGTGGTCAGTTTGGACAGGCAAAATGTGTTGGAACTTTCCAAATATAGCGCACTGGGAGATTCAGAACAGAAAGGTCATAGGATCGTAGATTTCACGCAGAGTATTGAGAAAATACTCAATAGTGTATGCTGTTCAGTAAAATTGCTGCTTGGGTTACATTACTTCATTAGGATTATTTTCTGGTGTTTTTATAATTGACACAAATATTTCATTCTGTTCGGCTTATAACAATGCAAACGTGTTAGAAAGCAATCATTAGTAAATCGATCTAGTTAGTTCTACATAGAATTTATGAAAATTAAACATCATACGTTTACCTTATGGTAAATTGAGGTGTTCATTATTAACCAGGTTGACATTGTCTTGTGAGTAAATTTGGTGACATTTATCTCTACTACAACAACACACCTGACATGTAAAATGTGCATGATCTTCTTCATATTTCTTCTCCTTCGGTAGTGGTGATGTTCTCTTTTTCAACTTACTAAAAAATACACTTTTCTGCTTTTCTGTATCTTGTTTTTCAGGTCTTTTTACATGTGCCAATAATTTTGAAAACAAAAATGCATTTTTCAGTTCAGGTGGCACTGAATTCATTTCCTCTTTTCTTCTGTCGATGACAGTAAGATATCGTGGGGATATCTCTTTATTGTTTAACAAACGGTGTACACACTGGTCGATTTCTTTGAACCGTTTTTCATCCGATAAATCAGGAAGAATGATGAAATGGGTACTTGAACCTTCAAACGGATTCTGACTTTCCAATGTAGCTTAAAAAAAAAGAAGATATTTTTAGAACTGCTGTCAAAGTCTATATAATCTTAGAGGTTTAATCAAAGATCAAGAGATTTTTTTTTCTCACTTTTTCACAAACCTCTGACAAGCTGGAATGAAAAAAAAGGTATGACAAAAATGACAGTCAATATATTTTGTGTGAAATGAAAATGAATTTTGATCCTTTCTTTAATACATATAATCATTTTGAAGTTTTCTTCTCTCTACGTACAGCTTGAATTTTGAAATTCTGAATTGATGTGCAACCTCATTTTAAATGATGAAATCTCTTTATTTTTCCAAATACAAACCTTGCAATTACCAAATTATTGGAATATGTAAAAACAAATCTGGAAGTTTTCTCAAACATACAATTAATTGATATTAATGAGTTCACATGGTTGTGCATTATCTGTTTCTTCAAAGTATATGAGCTACACAGAAACAACATAAACCTTTAAATTTTACCAAGTTATTAACTTTAAATACAATGTATCTTTGTTTTCGTTGGGTTTTTTTATTTCAGATTTTGGAATTACCATAAGCTGCATTTGTTTCCTAACATGTGTACAAAATGTTTCAATCCAATTCTCATTGTTCTCATAATCTTACTGAAATATTGGTTTTCATAGGAAGGGAAATAACTCTGTTGATAATTTTCAGAAAAATGATCTATACTTTGAATACAGCTTAACTGTAAGTTTCCTTGAAATCTATCCCAGTTGTTTCCAGGAATTTTTTTTTTTTGGGGGGGGGGGGGTTTACAAAAAAAGAGGAATAACTACATAAGAGTTTTTAAGATAAATACAAATTTCATAATGATGATCAATAAGTTCCAACTAACTGACCTGAATTCTCTTACATGATGAACAAACACCATATTCTGCCTGCATCTACCCTGATAGGACAATACGTTGGAGTTGTGGCATTTTCAATAGTCTATTACATGTATCTATCTTCTTGAAATGCAGTTAAAACTACACAAAAATTTCGGTAATTATTTTGGCATATGCCTTGTCAACTTCTCAAATTTAAATAATGATGATAAGTGAGTTTACAAAGATAGCTTACGATGCCCTGGCTTGCTGAGGGTATATGATGTATCAACTTTATAAGATTTTTCAAACTCTCTTATAATATCCTCGGCAAGGTCTCGATCCTCAAAACTTCCTTCTTCTTCATCATCCAGGAGTATGAATATTCTGTTATTGTTTTGCTGCCGAGTATCTGACAAACACACATCAATCAAAGTAAGTATTCTTGTAATTAATTTGAAACTGAAATCCAAAATATTAACAAAAATAAAAGTACATGAGACCTGCCTTAAAACCACATGTAGCACTAAATAACTTTATAAAGGCCACCTGTATTTAACAAATAACTTTTTGTACAAAAACCTGCCTATAAAGGTTGCCTCTCTGTAACTAATATCTGTCTATAATGGTCACCTCTCTGTAACTAATATTCGTCTATAATGGTCTTCTCTTTGTAATTAATACCTGTCTATAAAGGTCACCTCTCTGTAACTAATATCTGTCTATAATGGTCACCTCTCTGTAACTAATATTCGTCGATAAAGTTCACCTCTATTTAACTAACACCTGTCTATAAAGGTCACCTCTCTGTAAAATAATACCTTTGTACGATGGTCACCTCTGTATAACAAATACCTGTCTATAATGGTCAGATCTTTAAAACTCAATATTGGTTTATAAAGGTCACTGACTTTAGGACCATATGTAATGCAAATAATAGAGACTAAAACTCTATATTAAGGCTACCAGCCAATAAAAAAACACATTTTCTATGCTCCCTCAAGAGGCATTTACATAAAGGTTTGTCTGTGTGGTTTAAACACCATTTGTAACGTATTTAAAATTACAAATTGAAACTTATAACTGCTGTGAGTTTGTTTTGAAGTACAACGCATGTGATTTCTTAACTTCTGTAGGTAATATATATTTTTTTTGGAGTGTATAATTTTTGTGGATTTAAAAATGAAAAAAAAAGTAAAAAAAAAAGTGGAGACTTGATTTGGTGGATAAATATGGATCAATGAATTGAGTTATTGTTATTTTAACAGTTAATCCACATCTAAATTTGTGGATTAAAGGACCATGGAATCCAGAGAAATTGACCATCCTCAAAAAAATCATGATTTTATAGGAACTCACAAGAAAGAATTAATGTGTTTGGGTGGCACAATAAATAACACACTTTTCATTCAACAAGACAACCAACATTTGGCTCCACAACCCACATTCAATATGGTGCTGGGTCATGTGCTTGACCAGAGTATTTGGTTTCCTGCCACATTTATATATTAAAACTTGGTGCACACTTTAATATATTATGCTGTTGAAAAACCTTGATCTATTCACTATATATCCTTCTTTCTGAGATGCGTGAGTTCATTGTTATTTTCATGTCTACTTTAAACTAATGCCATTATAGCTAAAACTATAGCTCTACTGAGTTAAAGTTACCAGTTCAAAAACACAACTACAAACAGGAATTCTTGTATCTTGTCATTGAATCTGGGCCAATCTGGTCTCATAATCATTGTCTAATAAATAATGTCTATTTTTGGGCAGTTTATAACAAAAGATCAGGTTCATAACAGTTCATACTCCATATCAAATGCAAAATATCAAATTTTAGAAAGCATTAAAAGAGCATCAAATTAGTGAATATCAAACACTAAGTTAAAGGTGGACATTTAGTGGACAACAAAACAGCATTAGTTTTATAGTTCTACAGAACAACCATAAAGATACAGGTAGTTTTTATCACAAGAATTTAACCTACGAACAGACAGGTAAGTAGCATTATAAGTAAACAAACAGACAGGTAAGTAGTATTGTAAGTAAACAAACAGACGGGTAAGTAGTATTGTAAGTAAACAAACAGACAGGTAAGTAGTATTGTAAGTAAACGAACAGACAGGTAAGTAGCATGGTAAGTAAACAAACAGACAGGTAAGTAGTATTGTAAGTAAACAAACTGACAGGTAAGTAGTATTGTAAGTAAACAAACAGACAGGTAAGTAGTATTGTAAGTAAACAAACAGACAGGTAAGTAGTATTGTAAGTAAACAAACAGACAGGTAAGTAGTATTGTAAGTAAACAAACAGACAGGTAAGTAGCATGGTAAGTAAACGAACAGACAGGTAAGTAGTATTGTAAGTAAACGAACAGACAGGTAAGTAGTATTGTAAGTACACAGACAGGTAAGTAGTATTGTAAGTACACAGACAGGTAAGTAGTATTGTAAGTAAACGAACAGACAGGTAAGTAGCATTGTAAGTACACAGACAGGTAAGTAGTATTGTAAGTAAACAAACAGACAGGTAAGTAGTATTGTAAGTAAACAAAAAGACAGGTAAGTAGTATTGTAAGTAAAAAGACAGGTAAGTAGTATTGTAAGTAAACAGACAGGTAAGTAGTATTGTAAGTAAACAAACAGACAGGTAAGTAGTATTGTAAGTAAACAAACAGACAGGTAAGTAGTATTGTAAGTAAACGAACAGACAGGTAAGTAGCATTGTAAGTACACAGACAGGTAAGTAGTATTGTAAGTACACAGACAGGTAAGTAGTATTGTAAGTACACAGACAGGTAAGTAGTATTGTAAGTAAACAAACAGACAGGTAAGTAGTATTGTAAGTAAACGAACAGACTGGTAAGTAGCATTGTAAGTAAACGAACAGACAGGTAAGTAGTATTGTAAGTAAACAGACAGATAAGTAGTATTGTAAGTAAACAAACAGACAGGTAAGTAGTATTGTAAGTAAACAGACAGGTAAGTAGTATTGTAAGTAAACAGACAGGTAAGTAGTATTGTAAGTAAACAGACAGGTAAGTAGTATTGTAAGTTCATTCATTAACTTCTACAAACAAACAAAGAATAATTTTGACCTGGAATTATTCTGTTGAAGATTTGAATCCAGATTAAAGGTTCAACCTCATCATCAAATTCATGGTACAATTAATGTACCAATGTACATGTACATAAATATGCTTTGAATCTATAATGTATGTTGATGCTATGGCGTTCCAGGATGAGGGAGTTATTTCCCTTGCATCAATGTTGTACACATCAAGAACCCATGCAAGTATTTTTAATTAATGATTATAATATTTCATTTGTTAATTAAAAAAATAAGTCACTGTATATTGTTACTACATAAATAACATTAGAGAATTACATTAGATTGTTGTCTGATTACTTCTAGTTCCTAAAAAACAAAACAATGCTTTGGTATGGGATAGGAGTAGTACTTACCAAAATAACGAGATTTTATGTAGAGTCCAATGTTTTTATGTTTCCATGTTACCGAGAACACATAAACAAGGATTACAATGATGAAAACAACACACAGAACAATCATTGCCTGAATTATTGGAAATGGTAGCCGTTTCTCCACTACATCAACTGAAAATGGAAAATAAGTGCTGATAATTAAATGGTTTGTTAAAAACATATATTTAAAAACCCATATCTTTAACAGTAGTCTTGTTAAAAAATATGTCAAGCAGAATTTTCGAGTGTGCATGGATTTATCAATATTGGCAAAGCGGTAAGAACAGGCGACCATTACAACTACTCAAAAGGACTAACTAAGATTATTACAGCACATTAAAAGACCATATGTTTATATTTCTGCAGAATTGAATAACATGCAGATGTAAAGCTAAGGTCTTATTTCCAGATAAATAGAGTTCTTCCATTGTCCTCTTCCAGAAATGTACTGATCACATAAAAATGTAAGATGGTTCATAATTCCAGGACAGCCCAGAAGAGTTGAATACAATAATTTGTCATTATAAGATGAAAAGTCTTTCCTTCATACCATTTCTTTAGTAATGTGAACACTGAATCTTAAATATGAAAACAAAATTACTGTAGATTCTTTTGTAAACTTCACTGAAAAGATCAGACTGAAATACATTATCATACAAGGATCTGGACAGTAGTCAATTAAAAGTCAGGAAAGATTAACAATTAAGTCATACCCATGATTGATCAAGGTCTATCATATGCTTACATCATCTGATCATTGTCTAACAAAAAAATCTGTCTGATATAGGTAAATTGAATGTTTCAGTCTGATCATGGTCTATCATATGCTTATGTCATCTGATCATGCTCTATCAAATATTTCTGTCTGATATTGGTCTATCAAATGTTTCAGTCTGATCATGGTCTATCATATGCTTACATCAACTCATGATTCTCTATCAAATATTTCTGTCTGATGTTGGTCTATCAAATGTTTCAGTCTGATCATGGTCTATCATATGCTTACATCAACTCATGATTCTCTATCAAATATTTCTGTCTGATGTTGGTCTATCAAATGTTTCAGTTTGATCATGGTCTATCGTATGCTTATGTCATCTGATTATTCTCTAACAAAACTTTCTGTATGGTATTGGTCTATCAAATGTTTCAGTCATTTGATCAAGAGCTATCAATGTTATTGTCCTCTGATCATAATCTATGGGATGTTTCAAATGTCTTTTCACCTCTTTTTATATGTAGATGACGAGTAACATTGGTGACAGTTGAATTCATCACAATACACACAAAATGATCACCAAAATCTTCTTTTTGTACATCATGAATGGTCAAATTAGTCACAATAAGTCGTCCTGCATTTCTGCAAAATATAAAAAGACTAGAAAATGTCTGTAAGACATGAATGCCCCCCCCCCCCATGTGAAATAATAGTAAAAGGTCCGAAAGAGATGATTTTGTTAATTTGTATGCAACTATGTACAACTTAAGTTTCATACTTAAATTGACAAGTTGATTTAACGTACATGAATTTGGAATTTTGTTCTCTGGAAAAAATGAGGGAGTATATTAGTTCCTTATGCCTTAAAACCCTCAAGTACCAAATTATGTAGAAATAAGATGATGTTCCTCTTTTTTGAGTTATCTCCCCCTGGTGGCCATCTTTTTTTAGAATGCTGAGAAATTCAACACTGCATGAGGTCTTTCCATACTTGATATTTGTATGAAGTTTCATGAAAATTGCCTTCCGAATGAAGTTGTTAGGTGGTATATACTGATTTGGGACAGGACGCGACGTGACGCGACACACGGGACGGACGGATATGGGCAACGCTATATGCCCCCGGCCATAAATGGCGGGGACATAATAAAAAAAATACCAAGGTTGAATGCAGCAAGAGGCCAAAATGAACTATATATATAGCTCACCTGTTCTGCATCTTATGAAAAGATGACTTTGTTGAGAGAGCTTTTTTCATCCAACTATTTTTTTTCTCATTTGACACTTGAGACTATCAATGAAGTCTTAAAAATTGTTTCTCAATACTTTGAATGTTACAATGTTATCTTTCATTAATGTGTTTTGTAATATGGTTATACTGTGGCATATTGAGATGGTAAAACATGGGATATTTCAGAGAGAATTTTGTCAAAATCCTCTTAGTAGTTCATGATTAGTGGCGATTTTTTGGAAAAAGTTGACAGATGGAGGATGGATGGATGACAGACAGATAGACAACAGACACCAAGGTATACCATAAGCTTTCCTGGCATTTTGGGCTAAGTGAACTAAAATTCCAACAAAGTTATATCTATGCATTAATTTAGAATTTGGGGAATATTACCCATCATGGAAAAAGGAAAATTTTGGGCCTATTTTGAGAAATAGTGAAATTTCAGGCAGCCCATTAGGTGAAAATTCAAAAAAGAGATAAGATAAAAATATATGACATACCTGAGAATTAAATCAATAAAATATAAAAATGTGAAATTGATATTTTTTTTCCTGATGTCTAGACTATCAAGAGTAATACCTGTCTCTGTCCTAATTTATGTAGATTTAAACAAGCATGACTACAATACCTTAGAACCATTTTTTATGCACCTGGAATTTCTTGCTCAGAATTTTTTATGATGAAACCAATCAAAATCAGGTGACATTTTGGCTCATGTTATTGTTGACATCAGTTTCAATAATTTGCCAGATCAATCTGGTCACTGACCTCATTAACACTCAATCTGGACTAGGTATGCAAAGGAGAACATGGAATATTGCAGTTATACTATCTAAAAATAGCTTTTATTGACCAATCAAATGTCATCTTACCTCTTAAGTGAATTCAAACAAATTCAGTGCATATGCACATTATACAGTTGTCAAGTCCTAAAGTATAGAAGTCTTTATTGTTTTTTTTTTTCATGAGAAAAACTTTCATGATTTAAAATTGAAAATCCCAGACAAAGTGTACAGCTTATGGCCTAGGTACTTGTAAAGAAGAACTAAATACAAACCTGGTAGTTGTTTTCACATTGTACCTCGTCCCCTGCAGATCTGCTATTTTCATATAGTTAGACCCTCGCCTCAGATACCAGTCAGCGGAGTAAGGTCCGGCACTCTGACAACCATAGTCTGCCACACAAGAACTTTTTACAGTCTCACCCAGATCTGTTCGCTCTTCTTTCATAGTTAGATGAATGAGCACATTTTTCCTTTTGGCACAATCTGGCAGGCAAAAAATGAAAAGAACATACCAGGTAAATTATTTTCATTACAAAAGTAGACAAAGTTATAATCATATTGATCATATAAGATTAATGCATTCTTAAATATGTACAGTGCAAACCACTTAATGTGATGTTGGTTAATGTCACTTTCTTGTTAATATCATGTTTTTTAAAAAGATTTTTCCCTATATTTTCTATGTAATCCAATGTCTGATAATGTCACTTAATTTTATGTGGGAAACACTAAATATCACTTTTTCATTTCACAGCTATTACAAACAAGTGCTGTTGAATGCTCCCTAAATTTGACAGAATTTAAGAATAAAAGATAACAAAGGGCAATAGCACCTAAATTATGCAGCAGAGAGTTATGGTTCTTGTACACTGCATTTCTCCTCATCATGATTGATCTACTTATGAAGTTTTATGTTTATACCTCTTACAGTTTTGTGCTATGCTCCGGATTTAAGTATGGAAAATAACAAAGAACATAACTCCTAAATTATGCCCAAGAGAGTTATGGTTTCGTCATCAAGATCTATCTATAAAGTTTCATGTTGATGCCTGTTATAATTTTTGTGCTATGTTCTGGACAGGTAAGTGAGGACAGGAACTATGGATTTATACCCAATGGGCCAAACGTAACACCTGGACATGCCCGTAAATATTGTCACTGCTCTACTCACCAACATTTCACACCTCAGGACTTCTGAACAATAGATTGACCTGCTTACCTGTAAGGTCCAGCTAATTGCAGGGAAGTCTGGTGCACATTTTTTTTTCAATTGGCTAATGCAATCTTAGTGATAAATTGGTCTTAAACCTTTTGTCATTTGTCACTATTTTACAACAGTTATGGCCCAAGTGCCGATATTCTATAGACTAATTGTCATGAGGTTTCTGGGGATTTTGGAGCCTTTTCTCATCTTGCTTTACTTAGTCTGAATTATCTTATCTATCTTTCTGGCTTTGTTTAATGCGTTTATCATCCTATGAACAGCCAGAGTCATTTTGAGGCAAGGCCTCCTTGAAGTAGTTGATATCTACCTCACTGAACAACATATGGGAGGCTTGTCACATGTCATTCAGAGCAATAAGGGTGAAATGTCTATGGACACAATCATATCTCAGCAGGCCATTCGGTTTCCTAGCTTTAGGAGAAACACTAATAATCACAGGCAGGGAGCATCAAACTAGCCACCTCAGATCTTCACATGAGGTTACGTAGGCCAACACTCTGACTGACTGACCTGGCATTGCCCCACATCTGTCTGCTAATGACAAACTTTGAAACATGCCATTTGGCTTATAGACTAAGAATAAACATTTTAATCTGTGTGTGACGTGAAAATGGCAATTTCACAGGTACACGGGTAAAAATGGCCATCCCTGTAATCATAACTACAGGGACGGCAACGCTACACAGGTAAAGTGGCCATCCCTGTAATCATGACTACAGGTGCAGTGGTGATGAACACACCTTTCACCTAGCCATCCAAGCTGGTTCAATTCCCGGAACGGAAGTGATAAAGGTATGGGGGTCATCTGCCAGATCAAGTGGGTTTTCACCGGATACTCCAGTTTCCTCCTACAGTAAGAACCCCCATGCACTTCCATTCGGGCCAATAAGAGTGTTTAATATAAGCTAATAGCTTTTTTTACCATAATAATTGTTGTAAAATAAAGTTTATATTTATCGTACTACTATATGTATTGATCCAATAACGTGTTTCAAGTCCATGCTCCATAAAAAATAGATAGCTCTACAAAACAGGACAAGACTTACCATAAAGATCCAATTGAATGTATAGTGTTTTAGGCAAATCAGAATCAAGATGTGCTATGCACTTGTATGTTCCATTAGAATTTTTGTTGTAGGTGAACATGCCATAATCTCCATCATTTTCTTCATCAATGTATGTCCTGAGAAGTGTCAAATGTTTGTTCCTCTTACTCAGATAGACAGTTTGCTCCCATTCAGAATTATTTTCCATAACAATCGGAACCCATTTACCATGGAATTTATGATACCAGGAAATTGAGCTGAATAAGTCAACATCACAGTACAAGTCAACTGCAGTCCCAGCCTTCTGTTCAATCTTACAGGTTCCTGTGGCAGACACGTTTACAGACAGATTCTTCCTCCACTGATCTGAAAAATAGGATCATCTGAGAAATGTCTGCCTTCTACACTAATATTTACATATTAGACACTGTTAGTTTAAGTATCACTATGACATCACATGTACCATATAACTGGTCACCTCATTAAATTTCTTACTCATGCACATACTTTTGACTGCCTAAAAACAGGTATCAAGATATATTTGAGCTGTGCGATCCTGGTGGCTATTAGATGTAACATACTTTAATGAAAACCAAATTCTATACTTCAGAAGGGAAGATTGGAAGGAAGATTGTACAGAGCAAGAGTGAACAAATGGTAGAAAGTATTGTGTCTGATGTAGCATGTAGACGATGTTGTACATAAATTTACCTTTGAAATATGGAGTTAATGACACATCGCAGATAATGTTGTACATAAATTTACCTTTGAAATATGGAGTTGATGACACATTGCAGATAATGTTGTACATTTATAAAGTTTACCTTTGAAATATGAGAATTGATGACAAATTGCAGATAATATTGTACATCTTACCTTTGAAATATGGAGTTGATGACAAATTGCAGATAATGTTGTACATAAATTTACCTTTGCAATATGGAGTTGATGACACATCGCAGATAATGTTGTACATAAATTTACCTTTGAAATATGGAGTTGATGACACATTGCAGATAATGTTGTACATTTTTAAAATTTACCTTTGAAATATGGAAATGTTGACAAATTGCAGACAATGTTGTACATTTATAAAGTTTACCTTTGAAATATGAGAATTGATGACAAATTGCAGATAATATTGTACATCTTACCTTTGAAATATGGAGTTGATGACAAATTGCAGATAATGTTGTACATAAATTTACCTTTGCAATATGGAGTTGATGACACATCACAGATAATTTTGTACATAAATTTACCTTTGAAATATGGAGTTGATGACACGTCGCAGATAATGTTGTACATAAATTTACCTTTGAAATATGGAGTTGATGACACATCGCACGTAATGTTGTACATAAATTTACCTTTGCAATATGGAGTTGATGACACATCGCAGATAATTTTGTACATAAATTTACCTTTGCAATATGGAGTTGATGACACATCGCAGGTAATGTTGTACATAAATTTACCTTTGAAATATGAGAATTGATGACACATCGCAGATAATGTTGTACATTTTACCTTTGCAATATGGAATTGATGACACATTGCAGATAATGTTGTACATAAATTTACCTTTGAAATATGGAATTGATGACAAATTGCAGATGATATTGTACATAAAATTACCTTTGCAATATGGTAGTGATGATACATTGCAGAAAATGTTGTACATTACTAAGAGGTAGAAAAAGTTTGTCCAACCCTTCAGTTCCATACCAATCTGCACTATCATCTTAACATTGGCTGCAAAATTGTAAAAAAAAAAGTGCATTAACGATTCAGAGATGTAATTAACATGTACATAATCTATTACATCAGTCCAACAACATATGTATATATTAAGATATCAAACTTAGTAGCAATTTAAACTACAATATTGACAGATAATGATAATGATCATTAAAATCATAGTCACAGTTATTTTTCTATGCTATATATAGATATGCATGTAAATTTATCTGTAGCTAAGCAAAATTCTGAATTTTGCCAAAATGTTTAGGAAAATCAACCTGGGTTTCATTGAAATACTAATAATATTAAATATGAAACTTTACATGCATAAATTATTCTATGAAACAGATTATAACATCTTTAGATGACTTATTTCAATAATCCACATTGGTGCTGACAAGAGGCCCAATGGGCCTGCACCGCTCACCAGGTAATATCACAAATACAATCAATATCTATCACAAATAGAAAAAACTTATACACTATTGTCATTCAAAAAGGACACATCCAATAAATTTTCACTGATTTTAACCAATTTATAAAACAAACTTCAGCTTCTAACACTCAGCGCTAAACAGTAACAGTTATGACCTGGGTTATTGGTAAATGTCATTTCTTTTTCTTGCCAAAGTCATCTGGTTTTGACCCCAGGACACCTTTCCACAAAATATCCTGCTGCTCAGACAACAACAAAGAAGAAGGATCTACCAGTCCAATATCACACTTCCTGGCCATTTTGTTAGTCAGAAGAAATTGTTTTAAACTTTTGACACACTTGACTCCTGTGACCTTGAATATTGGCCAAGGCATGTAACACAGTAGGCATAAACACACGTACTTGTTGGTAATAGCCATGTTTATTACATGTTGAACTATAATAATGTTACATGTACAAAAGCAACATCTCGTCAACATACAGAGTTCATATACTCATACTAGTACTTCACATTGTGTCTCGTATCGGAACTGTCCATCTGTTGGGCTCTCTGAAGGCCGTGTGTTCTAATCTAAATATCTCCCTGTCTGTCCATAGAGCTAGTCTTATAGGGCTCTCTTCCCAGGGCTCTGTCTATACGACTCTGTCTACTCTCCTTCTGCTCTCTCTATAGAGCTCTCTCTGTTCTCTCTTTCCCTCCTTTTATCTTACTCTGGACCAAGCTTATCCGGCCATCCCCTAATATGGACGTCACTAGTTGCTAGATGATACGATTGTTGAAGTATAGCCACCTGTACTCGAGGTGCAAGGTTGAGATTCCCCCTGCTACTTTGTTACTTGAAATAGACCCTAATAATTACTCTACTACTAGGTGGTCACTGTCCCAACAGGAAATTGCATAAGTTTGATCATCAAGGAAGTGGGGATAGTATCTAATTAATTAACAGGCCAAAGCTGTACACCCACTGATAAGATTCTCAGGGCCCAGACTACACCAACCTAAAGTGTATATATGCAAGTAATTACCCACACCCCTGTGAACTACCTATATGTGTTATATTGATATACTATTGATCATTGAACGAACTATTGCTTAAGCTAACTTATTTCAACCAATCAGTCAAAGATTATTGACTTATGTATCTGAGTTACACTAATATGGAAACCTCCTTTTGTAACAATATATATCTAAACCCTATTTTGTTACATCAAGGTAATTTCTTTTGGGAAATTTTGCTGGACTTCATCCCAAGAATCTACCAGCCAAATATAACAACTCTTATTGAAAAGAAGAGGTATAAAGGAAGTTGAGTCGGTGATCTTATAATAAAGGCACATAAGTGCTAGACAGGTCTTGTTGTGGAAGAAAATCAGAACACTACAAGTTGAGCTCATATCTGCATACCCTTGATAAAAATCCAAAACCAGTGCATACTAGCTAGAGTTCAACAAATGAAAGGTAGGCTATTTCACAGTGATTAAAATTTGACATTCATACAGGCATTTAACATAGATTTTCTTATATTCTGAATATTAAGAAAAATTAAATCTTTTGTAAATATTATCAACTATACAACAGATGAAAGTCGCCCTATATTTAGATCACTTCATTTATTGGCTATATGCTGTATATGTATAGATTTGTGACTGTGACAAGTGGTATTATCTCCATGTCACCTAGCAAAGTCCTGTCATACTTGTATCTTAAACAAAGAATCTACATGTTTACATACATGTTTAAACTCCTAATAACATGACACTGTTAAGCTGTTCAAAACCAGACTTTTCACGTCATTTATGTTTTATGAAAACAGTCTTTGAAGTTTTGTGGTTTTTCGAGTCTTGGCAACAAAATTTGACAATGCTGTGTTGGGTAAAATCTCATATAACCAATAAATGTTATACTGGCCTATTAAGTGTCACACGTTCAAAATGCAGAGGGCAAATTAAACATTCATTTAAATTCATGACGTAATGTCATTGTCTTTATTAAGATATCACAATCAATTTCTACATACATGTACCAATGAAATACTGAATCTTAAAAATACTTCCTGTTCCTTTGAACTACACGGATAACAGACATGAACAAACTTCTACCTGACCTGGAAATTTCCAACATTCTTGATGTCTTTACAATCTCTTTCCAAAGAATTGAAGTCTCCCCCTTCTGCTTGTTGTGCAAACAACCCTACATTACAAAATGTATATAATAATAGGCGTTCATTCAGGTATGGACTTGATTAGATAATGCCCAGTCTTTTGGTAGAAGTATGACATGTATGTATGATAAACTGACATACTGAAACATATCCATCCACCTCGAAAATACCTGATAACACTTGTCTACGTTCATATAACTTGTTACTTCCTGATTATGAGTCTGTACCATCAGCTTTCAATCCCATTTTCCTCTGGGACTTCCAAGTGTTTTACGCTCTGTGTACTGTTTTAAAAAATAACGGATTTCCCAACTCACCTATACAATGTCCAGGTCACTTACACGCTTAGTTAAAACGAAAGTAGAAACAGGCGTGTAAAATATATGAATTTAGTATCGTGAAGATCGATATATACGATATAAGATCGCGGATATGTAACTACATTAAGCATCTTCTGTTCATTTATTTTTCATACAAATGAAAGTCTTCAGTGAATGACGTATACAATATATTGCTAGTGGGTATTCCGGATGGATGACCATTTCTTATGACAAACCTGACTTCATAATAACTGTTCCGGATATTAAAACCAAACTATATATATCGCTCTCGACACTTTAGAGTTAGGATACGTGATTTCGCACACTCTCAGTATGTATTTATATACGCTTCTGTCTTATGTATTTTAATACGCACATTAATTACTGCACAGGGGCGTTGTTCTTAACTGGTGTTTACATCCTGGTTTGAAGAGGAACGGGAACGTTATTACACACATTCGTCTAGCCTCCTTATTTTGTTGCTAAGCACGTTTTTCAATCGTATTGTATTTAAAAATCCTAAATTTAGATACAACCAGAAAAAAGTCTCTTAAAATATGAAAAAACATATTCTACCGGATTGAAAGTATATAATATCCTGTTACAAATAAATTAATTCTGACCAGTGTATCATACTGTATTTTATAGATAAATTCTGACCAGTGTAGTATAATGTATTTAATAGATAAATTCTTATCAGTGTTGTCTAGTGTATTTTATAGACAAATTCTGACCAATGTTGTCTTGTGTGTTTTATAGATAAATCCTTACCAGTGTTGTCTAGTGTATTTTATAGATAAATTCTGACCAATGTTGTCTTGTGTGTTTTATAGATAAATCCTTACCAGTGTTGCCTAGTGTATTTTATAGATAAATTCTGACCAGTATATTAGAGTGTATTTTATAGATAAATTCTGACCAGTGTTGTCTTGTGTATTTGATAGATAAATTCTGACCAGTGTAGTATAGTGTATTTTATAGATAAATTCTGACCAGTGTAGTATAGTGTATTTTATAGATAAATTCTGACCAGTGTAGTATAGTGTATTTTATAGATAAATTCTGACCAGTGTAGTATAGTGTATTTTATAGATAAATTCTGACCAGTGTAGTATAGTGTATTTTCCAGTCAAAATAATTGAGAATAAACGACAGACAAATGTCTTCAAATCAAGATTAGTTTTAAAGTCCCGTAATATTACAGGTGTAATAATAAGATATAAACACATTAACAAATGTAATATACAGCAGAAATCGGATTACCTTCACTACATATATGTTTTTATGACAAAAAAAAAGAATATTTCTTATTTTATCTTTAAACGGAAGATAAAAGATCAGCACTCAAACAAATGGCGGACCCCTCTGAATCTCCAAATATAAGGTAAAGGTGATATCAGACCATGTAAACTTGTTAGAAGCACTGCTGGTCATTGCTTCCAGAAACAAGTTTCTCTATTAAAACTATTACTGATCGACTTATCGATGCAATATACATAAGTACAAAGACAGATAAAGTCTTGAATATGTTACTCACAAGCGTCAGAATAGAATTCTGCATTGTGTTCTGAATGGTACGGAAGAATTTGAACGAAATTCTGTAGTTTTTTTTAAATTGATATAGAAGGAAAATGTATTGGCATATCGCACCTCCATAACGCGGTACAAACAAAACAAAGAACCCGTTTGTAATAAAAGTTCAGCTGGTTAGAATGGCTCAGCGGCTCTTTTATTTATAGAACAATCTAGTGATGCAATTGTCACACAAACACAGATATACACTACACAGAACACGCATGACCCCAAAAACAATGAAGGAAAGGGTTTTATCAATCAGCAATAATGACGAGCGTGGGAAGTGTATTTTGTGGAATGTACGCTCCAGACAAATTAAGAATGTTTGGGCTAGTGAAATAAGAAATGCAGATACGATTGTCGTTGAAAAAACATCTCCATTATGGAATATAATCCAAATTGCTTTAAAAATAATGGTCCATTGATGCCGATCCGAACAATAGGTCGCTAAAACTCAAAGAAAGAACATAGGATACACAGGTCTTTTTCCTTAACGTTGGCATCGTAATAGTCATCAAACAGATGATCAGATTCCCGACTGTAGACAACAATGCTTGGATAAACAGGATTAGAAGGAGGTACGGCTTCATTAGAAGTATCAGTGTGCCATCATCTTCGCTTTTAATAGTTTCCTAAAAATTAAGGTAATATATTATATATTTTATAAGGTAATATAAATTATTAATTTTCCTCTCCCGTTTAGTATGTGAGCTCAAAAAACAAAAAAAAAAAAAAACAAAAAAACAAAAAAACAATTAGATGAAAAAGCACCATTAACTACAACTTTCTAATTATAGTTGTTTTATCCATGTAGAGCTTATCAGTGATGCTGATGGTCAAAATGTTGGAAACACAGGTAGCGGGTGAGGAAAGTTAAAATCAGCAAAAGAAAAACGTAAAAGATCAGCCTTTAAAAACAAACCAGGAAGTGAACTAACAATATATATATATATAGGGCATCAAATATCATTTTCGAGAAAAAAAAATGCCATCAGTATCATTTTCAAGGGCAAAATCTGCCAAAAAATCAGTCTCAAGTCAAATAGGACAAAAAGAGGAGTCTCAAGAGAGCCATGAATATTAATCTGAAGAAAATTAGGCCACAATATCATTTTTAAAGGAAGAAACAGCCAAACAGATCAGTCTCAAGAAAAATGGGCCAAAAAGATAACTCGCAAGAAAAATAGGTCAAAAAGATCAGTATCAAGAAAAATAGCTCAAAAAGATCAGTCTCAAGAAAATAGGTCAAAAAGATCAGTATCAAGAAAAATAGGTCAAAAAGATCAGTCTCAAGAAAAATAGGTCAAAAAGATCAGTATCAAGAAAAATAGGTCAAAAAGAGTCAAAAAGATCAGTCTCAAGAAAAATAGGTCAAAAAGATCAGTATCAAGAAAAATAGGTCAAAAAGATCAGTCTCAAGAAAAATAGGTCAAAAAGATCAGTATCAAGAAAAATAGGTCAAAAAGATCAGTATCAAGAGGGCCATTAAGATCAGTCTAAAGAAGTTTAGGCCAAGACAATAAGTCTGAAGGAAAATAGGCCTTAAATACCATTTTCAAGGGGAAAAAAGTCAGACAGGTAAGTCAGATAAGTAAGATCAGTCTCAAGGCAAAAAGATCAATCCTTAGAAAAAAAGGCCAAAAAGTCATAAGTTCAGTCTAAAATGATCAGTGTCAAGAAAAATTGATTTCACGCGTTGTTATCATAGTTCATTAACTAGCATAGAAATGTCGGAAAAAACAGTATTTGTATCTTATTGATACAAAGTTCACATCACCTTACCTTTAATATTGTTCCTTGTAGCCATGAAGGTTTCTCTGGCAAGCATGTATACAATACGTGTATGACGCGGAGTGAGTTGCTTAGCAACATTTAATTAGGCGTTGACATAAATACAGATTGTTTAACAAAAGGGTCTTTGCTTCCTTTATCGTAGATATTACAATGGAACTGGTAAAGTATTAGACGGACAGGATATTGTGAAGTCTATATTGTACTATATTTACATCTGTACTACAATGTCTCTGTATGGAAAAATACTATTACGGGATCTAAGACAAGATACTAGCTTACTAATTAGTGCACTTACTAACCCCTATGACCATCGGCAAATAAACATATTTATAATATGAATGGCAAAACAAATCTTCTTTATAGTTCACAAAATAATTTTTCCAGTTATATAACTTGAATATATAATCTTTGATAATTGCATTATAAACCAGCTCAATATAACAAATATAATGTGTAATTTGTGTAATACTGAATTATAACGTTTATATCAGTGATGTTAAATTTAGGAATTACAATGTTCAGGATAATCTATTTAGTTGATTTATACTTTAAACCTTTTCTTTCTTATTCAGTTGATTTGTTTTTACTCTCCTCTCCTTCACCAGTATTTTGTCATTTATGTTACTCAGATGAAACCAATTAGGCTATATTGACTCAACTGAGACTTACTTGTTGTGAACGAAAATTGTCCCCCACAAAGATGGATACGTTATAAATATTAACACGGGAACTTATTGTTGATCAAGTCATCACTTACCCTGAAAGGCAAGGTCATTTGTAATGTTTGAGGATGTTGGTAATATAGATACGTTATAAAATCAATCACCAATATTCAATCGATGAATAGAAACAAATAATTATCTCAATAAAAGAAATACAAATAATTTTAATTAAATCAAAGATAAACCGCTAACGTAACCCATACATATACTGAAACGTATATTTATGATGTTAAAGTTGATTATCACAGAACAGCCAATTCTGATAAAAAAAAAAAAAAAAAAAAAATGGGATACAATTAAATACAGACAGCAAGCTTGCATAAAGGTTTAGGCTAACATACTAATGTAGCTTAGAACATATTACATTCATGTACACTATTGACAATGTTACTTTGCAAGTTAAGAAGATAAGATTATGCTACATAGTAAACAACTCAACGTTTTATAACCCTGACGGCAGACTTTAAAGATGTTAACCACTATGTCATATTGGTATTTTGGTTATCAGGGCGATGCCACAAATACATAAGCAAAAAGAATCTTGCTTCAGTTATAAGAAAATGTTGCCTTCTATGTTGCATAACTTTTTTTAATGAGTAGTATATGGTAAAATTTTCGGTCAGGAGACGTCGACTCATGCTATGTTCAGTGGTGAATGAAACAATAAACGAAAATGGAATGGGTGAATATAAATCTTAAACAGATAAAAAGTCATTCTGTTCTCAATCCGAGATTCCATAACGAGAGTCTTCGCGTCACTAATTGTTATGTCCTGAACATTCAGCTGTGATTACCCTTTAATCTTTTTTTATAAATCAGAACCAGGGAATAAGTGAA